AAACCTGTAATCTATTGTTTCACGTTTGTGCTCCAATTCGCTACCGAAATTCAGTTTGATTGATTTGATTATTTTGACTACAGAAGTGAAAATGGAACAAAAGATAGATTGGGTTACTTCTAAATATTTTTGTACAGTTTATCATCGGTGAAATGTGACTCCATACAGCAAAATAAACAGCAGCGGACAAGCTAGTTTATACATCCAATACATTCAAAGTTATGTTATATTTAGAGAAATAATCAACTTTCCAGCTGCATGACCGGATGTTGCTCGTACTTTGGTCGTCACTCATGCGCATTGGTTTGGGTCATTAGGGAGGAGTGGGGGATATTTATGTCATGTGTAATGTTGACCACCGAAGACCGGGCGCTCTTACGATTTTTCGGGGAAGCATATGGAAGAAGTGAGATTAACTAGTCCGATTCTCATCGCTTCCACTGACCGCATTCTGGCTACTGTTATTTCTTACGATGTATAATGGTAATATAATCGGACAAAAGAAAGCAGAGTTTGAAAATATGCTAGCTTCTGGTTTGAATTACTACATTTCACGCATCACTTACCCTCTCGAGTGTGACGCGCACCTTTTCGGGGTCAATTTTTTCACCGGCATCACCTCCACCAACCTAAAACATGCAAACCGGTAACCCATGAAATCAGACGATGGGACTTACCATCGATTCTACCTGAGTTTGTCTGCTGCATTCACCGTGTTTTTACCAGAGAAAAGAGAAATTCGCAAATTGAATTTAGAACAGTAAAAGGTGATCGCGTGATCTCGATGAAAGTGGGAGCCAAAGTGTATAAAGTCAGAACGGGAACTTACTTTGCTGAGTGATCTCGTGGTGACGGAATAGCTGTAAATTTGAATTAACGAATACCAAATAATCTGAAAGATACTGAAAACATCATTTTGAATGAACTGAAGTGTCCACACGATGATTTCTGACTTGACTTACTACCAAAGATACAAAACCTGAATTTCACCACAACTTTATTTGACCTCCTCATTGCAGAAAATCCCCTTTTTTCTGACAGAGTTTATCGATTATGAACTGTTTGTCGGTTTTTCATCCGAAGACGAATGATGTATCATCATTATCATCATCATCCCCAATAATAATGCAAATAACAATAAGAACAATAATTATAAGCGAAACCCAATTAATCGGGCTCGTCGCATTCATAGATAGACTCCCAAATTCCACCTGGCGTCGGATCTTGAACAACTTGCTCTCAGATGCGCAGTAAGTCCACGTGTCACGTGCTAAAGAAATGTTCGAAATTTTAACCAGATGCATTTATCCCAAGTGGTTCGTTCAAAGTTATGGATAGCTTCACTTTGAAATAAAGCGACTTTTTTGGTCACACACACAAATTAGACAATGACTGGCATCTCATAGGGTTTACAAGTATTCCAAATAAGAAGCGAATCGTGTGTATACCAATGATAATCTTGAATACATTTTTCCGATGAGTCCCGTTCGAAGAGATTGTCGATCTGAACGTGCCAACTGGTTTATTTGCTTTTAATTCAACTACACAGAACTAATTTATCAAATATTATAATGGTAAAAGTAGTAAAGATTACAACGATGATGATGGCTATATTAATTTCGCATGTATTTTTACTTATAGGGATATAGTGACATTGAATGAACAAAAAGCAAACTGATGTTGAGAATAGTGCTTTTCTGCCAGGGTACACCCCAAAAGAGCGGTCCCACTGTTCTTGGCAGATATTAATCATTGTCGCGATTCAGCCATCGCTACCCAAGATCGAACCTCTGCCTCGAGTAAATATGACGATCGGGTCTATTACGCAGAAGCCGATATAAAACGCTGTGCTACAAACGGCACCGAGAAGCATTGCGAAGCTTGACCAAGTGTTTCGCGGCAAGTGATTGAAATCAGTTCACAAGCAATGCAAGTTCAGGAATTCCGTGTGTGGGTGTTTTCTGTGCTTCTGTGCTCGCTCCGAAGATTTTCTATGTTCGTTGATACTTGTTGGGGTAGCTTTCGCAAATGCACGTTCACTGTTTGTTCCAGGCTGCCAGGTTGTCACTAAAATCATCCTAACTTTCAGAACATGGCATTTAGAATTGCAATAACTGGACGATTGCAGAAAAAAATGCTTCCGATCTTAGATAAATTAATAAACTAAACGTTACTGATTTGTAAAAGCATGGAAAGTTATATCCTTAATTAATGTTCAGAGGTTATCAGCTTGTGTGTTCGTGGAAAATGGAGCTACGTGAGTCCCAGGAAGGAATGATGCCAAATAAGTGATGGTTGTGTGCGAATGGGTCCTGGCGAGACACGTGATTGTACTCATACACGAACATCTTCTAGCACTCGAATCGTACGTAAACGTTTTAACCAGAATCTCTCTGCATACCTGAGAAATTAAAGCGAAAATTAATTACTACTGGAATGATTTGTGAACAAATAAATTCTTTCGTGCCTTGGTTCAGTCATGACAAAGCGTGATAACCTCACTGAAATAGCTGTTAACATATGTGCCATTTTCTGAACTTCCTTCCTTCAAAGCAATAACCCCTTCATAGAAGTGAACGAATCTGAACCTTGCCCATCATGATCATGGAGGAAGGGAGGGGGAAGGTGCATTGAACTATCAGGCAGTAAATAATCCAGTAAGTACTTACTACCCCCAACGGGTTCCAGTTTGCTTGATTCGGTCAATAACATTTTGGCTGTTTCCAATAAGCTGGTCTGTGTGTTCGCTTTTCGTGATGGTGTTGAGGCTGGTGTTATCCGATTGGGCGAATAGAGGACATGGGAATTAGGATTTGGTGTGTTTCGAGACCATCGACTACTGGCACATGTGGTCGTAGTGGCTGCGGTAGTCAGACTGGGTGTCATTACCTGATTCGCACTAGCGCTACGCTCGGCCACCGGGATTGTGCTTTCTGGACAAACTGCGTTCACATTGATTTGTTTGTGCGCGTGATAGTCTGGAGCCGACTCGATCATTGTGCTGTCCAGACTGTAACCAACCGATCGGTAACGTTCTACTCCGTTCGCGTGAGCTAACTGGCTCTCATCCATTGACGAAGATCGAGTGGATTCGTAGGACCTAGGGGTGAATTCGTTAAATAAGAAGTCATTATGGTTTTCATGGATATTCGTGTTCCTTAATATTGTTGGACAGATGATGGAAAGGCAGTAATATGGATGGTTTCTGGGGCTCGTACTTAGGCACGGAAGTTGCCTACACTTGTGCACAGTGCATGCTATGCTATGCGGCCGAGCCAACAATGTCGATTGGTTTCTATTTGGATCGCCCAGTCAGTTCATCTTTGTAAAGTAAATTGAATCAAATGAAGTCACCAATTAAAAACTAAGCTGTCTTTTATAGACAAACGTTTCTTGTAATGCACTATAATCCAACTTAAGGGCTATTACTGTTATCGAAGAGTGGTGAAGGATTAGTTTTGATTATTTGGTGAACCTTGTTGCGTAAACAATAGAGGAAGCGTTTTTCTTTTATATAAATTATTGTAACATGATTTGTTTGGCATATATATGTCTGACGCCAGACTGTATGCCAAAGAAATCATGGTACAATAATCTATATAAAAGAAAAACGCTTCATCAAATAGGTCGGAATAACTGTCCATTGCTCTCTAGCTTCTCAGTTCACACTTCTCTTTTTGCCAAAATGGCTTTGACTCTAAGAAGAGTTCAATATGCTGTATTCGATCCGGTCAGAAATTGTCTATGGAAAAAATAATTCATTTTCTAACACGAGTGTTTGTGTGCATCATAACCCTGTCAGTATTTCAATCGCGCAGAAGATTTGGTTCTCTTACATATAATATCTGTTACTCGTTCACTGAAATCGAATTGAAACGCTCATTTGCTACATGGAGGACATTATAAATGCGTATTATAATGGCATGAACGTTCAGTTTCAATTCTCCGTTTAATCAAACATTAATAATGTAATATTTTCTGGCCGTTTTGGTGGCTTTCTTTTGATGAAGAAACGGTGAAAAGATTGATATGTTGAACGTAGTGTCAAGATGAAAAAAGAGGATAAGTGTAGATCCTGGTGGCAAAGAGATTGAAGAGATGCTCGAGCCCAACTGTTTAGGATGTTCAGCCATATCACTCAATGTTTGTACCATAGGTTACGCTGATCTCGAGAAATCCATCTACGAAGCCTGAGGTGACCAGAACATCAGAGCCTCCTGATCAGAGCTTTCATACCATCATGTCAAATCTTGGTGTGAAATCTGGTAGATCTCTGATGGTGTCAAATATATGTTATGTCAGATGTGGGAGTGAGAACAATAAGTTCACGACTTTCCATAAGCTACTAGTTCATAATAGACGATGCCCTGACTACCGAACCCTTATTCAATGGTGTGTCTGAGTAGTCGATTTCCTTTTGAAATCTGACCGCTGAAGTCACTTGCTATCCTGACTTCATTCGTGCCTAATTTCCGATTAGAATGACCAAATATGGTGACCCTGTCAAAACTGCCACCAGTACATCGGTTTCGAGAACACATGTTGTCCAGTGTGTTTGTTTACCTTAAACAAAAACAGGTAAATAGAGGACCGGACTAAACTGGTTTACTTATCGATATGTATGTGCTGACACTAGTCTGAAGTGATCGCTAGTTGATTAACCTGCATCAACTTATTTCCGCATACTGGTGGACACGGCAACGCCAAAGCCCAACAAGGAAGACAAATGAGACGAACAATTCATTAACAGTCCGATCATTCAAAATCCATCTGTTTTTAGAATGTATGGAGCTATAAAAAGAGTTGGTTGTTCTACCGTTCTACAAGTGTGGATCCATGATTTGTCTTCCAATGCATCACTTGTCACCTTAACAGGTACTAAACTAATGCAGTAGTTTGCACAGATATCAATCAGCTCTATCACAGATCGCATATACCTATTTGTAGTAGTTTGTTTAGAGCTTAGCGAACAAATGATAGATTTTATAGCAGCCTAACTTGCTTCAAAGACATCGGTGATACCAATGGATGCCGTCAATTTATTTATTATTCTACAACCTATTCACTCTGTATAACGTGTTTCCGAAGCATAATATTGTATTGATCATTCCGAAATTCAGAGCATGCACGTTTCCGGGAATTCTTTACGCCCTGCACCATTAACATTCATATGAGACAATATGGCTCGGGTGTGTGTGTTTGGGTTATTCATCATCATCCTCATTGAACAGCGTAATACAGTGAAGCGAACTTCACTGATCACTGCCAAACTCATATTGCATATAAGGTAA